AAAAAAAGGAAATGAGCAACTTGATAAGCAATAAGGTAATAGTAACTTAAAACAACAGCCAAGAAAGTCATTAGATGTTTGATTCCCTATAGAAACTAAAGATATTAATAACAACCTAACATAAGTCCCTGAGTTGTTTTTCAGAAACTTGGACACTACCAAATGGAAAATGCTATCTGCTGGCATGTAGACTTCAGATAAGAGGGAACCGAGGACTGAACTATAACCTCTGTTCTTTGTTGTAAATTTCTTCCTGAGAAGCCTGGAGGAAGTCACATCCACAGGCTCAACATTCCTTTCTGTGGACTCTAAATTTTTAGACAAAGCTTCACCTCCTTAACCAATAACGAAATCAGAAAATCTTTGAATCTACCTATGACCAGTGGTCCCCTGCTTTGAGATGTCAGGGCTTTTTAGGTCAAGCCAATGTACAGCCTGCATGTGTTGATTTATGTCTTTACTTCTAACCTCTGCCTCCCTGCTTTTAAAAACCCCTTCATGCAAGCCATCGGGGAGTTCAGGTCTTAAGCATGAGCTTCCCAATTCTCCTGAATTGGTATCCTATAATAAATGCCTTATTTTCTTTTACTGCAAATCTCAATGTCAGTGTTTGGCTTTGCTGCACTGGGCAGGCAGACCAAAGTTTGGCTCAGTAACATAATCTGTGGCCTGCCATTTTGCAGCCTCTGGTCCGCAAATGAAAGGCTTAATCCTTTGATTTTATGGATGTTGAAAATGGTCTGTCCAAAGTCTGAAATTGTTAGCCAGGACTCCCAGTCCAAAGCTTTCCTCACATAACTATATCCTCTCTCAACAAGAAAATAACTAGAAGACTCAAAAAGGAAAACACTGTGTTATAAAGCAATATGTTAAAAATAAAGCACAAGATAATATAATGAAAACTATAGAGGTAAATCCTGTGGGGAGGAGAAGTAATATAATGTTCATGGCAGGGAGAATTTGAGAAGACATTTTTAAAGGTGGTCTTTGAGCTAGATTTTGAAGAAAGTGACTAATAAAAATTGACAAAAAGAAGCATGAAGGGAATTCAGTAGAGAGGAATAGAATGAAAAAAACATATGTCTAAGGATTGGCAAATAAATATGCAAGACATCATAGAGAATTAGCTTAATCGGGGAGTAAAAATTATGTCAGCATAATTCATTCAACAAATATTTATTGAGTTCTGTGGGTCAGGCACTGTTCTAGGTCTTAGGAATATAGCAGCCAGCAAGAAAGTCAAATTCTAGGCCCTTGTAGGTTATTTATTCTAGTGGCACAGGTAGATAATAAGCAAGTGAAAAATAATATAAAGTACTATCAATAAAATAAAACCAAGAAATGTGACTATAGTGGCTGTACGTGTACAATTTTAAACAGGATTGTCAGGAAAGGCCTCACTGAGGAGACAGCATTTGGACTGAGTCCCAACAGAGGAGAAGTCATGCAATGACCCATGTGAACAGCTCTCAAGGCAAAGGGAAAAGCTAGCACACATGGCCTGGATAGGAAGGAACAGGAAGAACCGAGCATGTTTACAGCAGAGTGAACTGTGGCAAGGGTGGTAGGGAATGAGGTCAGAAAGACAGGCAGACACTTCTTAGGCCTGGGTAAGGAGTCTAGAATGAAATGAGGTTTCCCACAGGGAAGCAGTATAAGTTGATTATAAATGGAGTGTTTCCAACAAGGAAGTAGCATTATTTGATAAGAAAAGAAAGTAGATAATAGAGGTCCTTGAATTGAAGCGGACAGAATACAGTCAATTTCTGGGAGAAGATATAAATTTCAGTGAGCAGAACAAGATTGAAAATGGGGATTGAGAGTCTCTTCTGTCTGCTGAGTGCAGAATGAGTCGGAGTCGGGAGCTCTGGGTGAACCCTGTTGTGGATCCCAAGGTGGGGGGATTATAATTCAGTCAGGAGTGGTAGAAGTGAAGAAGAGGAAGTAAGTATCACGAACACTAAACAGAATGAATGGATGTAAGTCACAACAAATGAAAGAAAAAAAAATGTGAGAAACATGCACATTTCAGTGCTGGAAAGCCATTTTAGGAAGTGGCTTTGGTAACTAAGATGAGAGAGAACTATCAAGATGTAAACTTTTAGGGAATTACCAGACATATATTATTACAAGCAATTGGAAATATAAAATTAGAGGCCTTTGGGGTGGCAGGTCAGGGCAGCAGAGCAGTTTGGAACTACTCTTTGTATCAATAAAAATGGAAGTTAACAAGAGGTTTAACTCCCAAAAGGTAATGGAAAGGAAGAGAAAGAAGTCAAAAAACAAAATCCTAAATATATCCACTGCAAGGGTGAGAGTTAAGTGTTGCTAGGTGTTTATCCTGTTTTATTTTTTAAATTGATCTGTTCAGTCAAGGAAAAAAGAACAAAGTCCCTTTGTGAACTCA